AAATATTAAAGTTGTACCTCCAAAACTGTAGGAAGAGATAGCCAGACAAACAATGTATCATAATCCGGACAGGTGGACGGACAGGGGTAAATTAATATGCTCCTCGACATTTTGTCGCGGGGACATAAAAAGGGCCATTATAGTTGGTGTATTAAATGATTGTTAGGTGTACATGTTTGTCTGGCAGGTTTCATATGACATTGAACACGTGTTCACTATTCATTGGTCAATGTTTAGTTTTCACGGTTTTGTCAGTTAGTCAGATACTACAAGCAACATGTAAACAATATTTGCTGTATGCAATGATTGTACATAAGGTGTCTTTTTGGTATGGTTTATCTGACCTCATTTTCATGGATGATTGATAATGTTAAATGTATGTGATACTAGTATAGTAAAAACTTCATATTACAGACTTCGCCTGTCCGAAGTCAGGAGCCTGGAGTTGGTTTCACAAAAAAAACTTACGACTAAGACTAAGTCTTTAATTTTTGGGGGTTCTTACCTTGTATTACTTTTTTTGGATATTGGGCCCCATTTTTAAATTAGTCTACATTGAGGTCAAAAGGGTCCAAAATTAAACTTTGTTTGATTTCACCAAAAACTGAATTATTGCGGCTGTATGATATGCTGAATCTTATTGTGCATTTAGATTTTTTATTTTGGGCCCTGTTTTCAAATTAGTCCATATTAAGGTTTGAAGGGTCCAAAATTAAACTTTTGATTGACTTCAACTAAAATTAAATTTTTGCTGTTTTTTTATATGCTGAATCTAACAATGTTGTTAGATTTTGGATATTTTAGACCATTCTAGGTAAAATGAATGTCCCAATTCAAATTTTTAAGCTCTTTGACCACATTTATTTTGTGTCAGAAACCTATATTATGTCAAAAATTTTATCACAATCCAAATTCAGACAGTATCAAGCTTGAATATTGTGTCCAAACTTGCCCCAACTGTTCAAGGTTCAACCTCTGCGGTCGTATCAGGCTGCGCTCTGTGAAGCATTTTATTGTTATTTGTTGCTTTATATCTTATTTGTTTTTCGTTCATTATTTTGTACATAAACCAGGCCATAATTTTTCTGAATTGTTTTACATTTGTCATTTCGATGCCTTCAATAACTGACTATTCGGTATAGGTTTTGCTCATTGTTGAAGGCCATATGGCGACCTATAGTTGTTAATTTCTGAGTAATTTGTTCTCTTGTGGAGAGTTGTCTCATAGGCAATCATATCACATCTTCCTATTTTTATATTTTCAACATAAATTTAGTCACAATATTAAGTAAAGCAGGCAAGACATTTCAGTGTCTGCATTCTTGTGTTTAAAAATTAGAAATTTTGTAAAGCATCTTTTTTGTGCTAAGTTGTCAACAAAAATATATAAAGAGGTATACTATGCTATCCAAAAGTGTCACATTCTCAATTGATTATTATGAAAATTGGGAAAAGATTGGAGTAAAAATAAACTTTTGTTGAAAATTTTTGAAGATTTGAACAAACAACTTTTTGCTTCAATTACAACAAAGCTCAAGATCTATGTAAAATGTATACTATAATATTCTTTTCCATGTAATCTTGGTGCAAGATTTGTGGTTAAATTAGAGGATACAATGAAATTGTCTTCTTATGCTAAGATTTCAACAAGGATTGATATGTAAGTGTAGATAAGTATTTCAAAAATTGGAAAACAAATTTAAAATAAAATTGGTATAAACTTACTTCTTGTTTAAAATCTCAAATTTTGAGAAATATCTTCTTGCGCTGGAATTTAACAAAACCGATTTATAGGTACAATTTATTTAGGCCATCCTTAATTGTTCCCAGGGGTCAAAAGTGTGGTAAAACCTTATTTTATGTGAAAAGATGGTAAATTTTGGGAAACACGTGTTTTGATAGGATTTTAATTTCAACAATATATACTAGACTTAAGAAAAAACATATGATACAGTACAAACAACTTAAGGTCCAGCAAGCCTCACTTGGTATAGACACAAACTAAGGTTTTATGTTCGCACACACAACTCCTCTTTTGCAGATCTACACCATGTGTCATAATACTAGAACAAACACAATAAAAACATGCACTGTACATGTGCAGCTACCAATGGGATGACCACTAAATAGAACAAGGAAAAACAATAAAAAATTTTGATGATTTATTTAAAGGTGAAATTGTTGATGATATATTAGAAAGGTGAAAACTGCCGTTATTTGCTAATCTATGGCAATGAGACAATATTGCAGCCGTGATGAAAGGGCCATTGGACCCAAGTCATTTTCAACTTAACTACATGTAGTTGCAATTGATTTCCTATTCATAAATTCATCTCTGGTTTAATGCACATAACTTCAATAACAATTATTGTTAATGCCAAGAGTATCAGGTCAAAACTTGGGTGTAATAGCTAGAAAGGTAACTGTTAGCTTAAAACACAGTCCCCAATCATGTATTTAAATAATTGATATTGGTTAATGTGCAGTAAAAGTAAAAATTGAATGTAAAATTTGGTACTCATTAAGAATTTTATAAGCAAAACAATGGACTCAATATTGTTTGTCATGGTGAGTAGGGGCATCCCAATTTTGCCATAGCGAGTCCAACAGTGGGAAGACAATAAATAGCAATGCCTTAATTGATTATTTTCTGATAATTTTGGTCATTGATGCAAACTTTAGAAACAGTATGTGACAAACAACCCTATATAAAGAAAATAATGAGCTAGCTCCACCTTTATATCTTTCCAACTTAAGATGGTGAAAGGAAAGACAGAAGGGATCAAGATCATTTTTGATATGCATACATAAAATCAAATAATAACAAGAATGTGTCCATAGTACACGGATGCCCCACTCGCACTATCATCTTCTATGTTCAGTGGACTGTGAAATTAGGATCATAAAGATCATATCATAGGGAACTTGTGTACTAAGTTTCAAGTTGATTGGACTTCAACTTCATCAAAAACTACCTTGACCAAAAACTTTAACCTGAAAAACTTTTACCTGAAGCGGGACAGACGGACGGACGGACAAACGAACAAACGAACGAACGAAAGGACGAATGAACGGACACACAGACCGAAAAAGATAATGCCCATAAATGGGGCATAAAAATAATGCACTGTAATAAGGTTTGGAAGTTGAAAAAATTACATGTACTTTATAATTGTCTAGGTGGGATGCTTCAAAACAAGAATAGGCTTCATAATTTCTGGGACTAAGAAACCTCCATTTAAATATTCAAATCACAAAACATTATTTGGTATATGGGATAGGGGTAAAAAAAAAGTGGGGATGTGGGATAATTTGTTTTTTTGAGGGGGGGGGGTAAAACGTGGAAACGTGGAATGTGTCATCTAAGAAATAAAAGCGAGACTTTCAAAATAACAGCGATTTAGGAAACTAGCCACCTACTCATTAATATCAAACAACAGGCTTAATTATGTTGTACCCCCAAGCCCTATGATATCATCGCCTTATGATAAGCCCGTACAATTCATGGTTCATGGATATGCATTATGGAATGAGAAAAACAGTCGACAATCTATTTTTCTTTGTCGTTTATAAGCATATCTCCCCCTGTTATTTATGAGTTTGGTATATTTATGTTTCAATCAAGATCCGACTTCAGTCTGACGTTTAACGCCATTTTCAACTGGTACCGTATGTGGACGTTCGACAAACCGGGAACCGAAACATTCAAGTTCAAGGCCATCATTAGCTCATACCGACCGTTAATATTTGTATATTCCGAAGGCATACTGGATATTTTACGGAGGGAACCAACCTAGTTTTGATCCGACGTTATCGACGTCTTGACAACGCCTATTTTTGTATGCCGTCAGAGAGTGAAATAACCTCGTTTATCTCACATGTGAAATTATTATGGTATTATTACGTGAGTATTTCTGTATTGGCCTTGTTATTGGTCCGAGGCTTGCTGTATTGGCCTGAGGCGAAGCCGAATGCCAATACAGCTGGCCAAGGACCAATAACAAGGCCAATACAGAAATACACGTAATGATACCTTTATTAATTAACTTCAGTGTTAACATTGTTTTATATACCACAAGAGATAAACATTTTTACCTTGAAGTGGAACTATCCAAATCTGAGTTCCGATTTATCATGTTTATAAGCTGCAATATCAAATGATCTGGTGCTGTTTCCAGGCGTCTTTTACATTTTCTCATCTGATGAAATTTTCTACCCTTACCAGTCACTATTAAGTGTTACAGTTCATATTTAGACGCAACACATAAATAGTAATTGGAAAGGTACTGCCATTGCATGTGTAATGCAGAAACAAATTATTTTAAAAAAATGTAGAAGTTGAATATGATTGAAAATGATACAACTGTCCATAAGGCAACTGACCGAAGATTTGAACAATTACAGGTCACCCTTCCACAATGCATATGCCTGGTTCGGGTTGAAAAATAAATGACAGTTTACGAAAGTAAACAGTAAATCGGTTGTACCTGAGGTCGACAAGAAATGAACTTTGTGATAAACTACTCGTTGCCCAAACCTGAAATAATTCAATTGTCTGCTTACAAAATGCTTTTTAAATGAATGTGACCGTCTTTAGCCTGAAATATATGCCACACTGAACGTTTCGGCATGTTTATGGTGAGCAAATGAAAACTGCGTCTTCCTAACGACTGTTTACTTTAAGTTTGTGTTTATCATGACTTTCGATCTAAAAACTAGAGACGTTCCAAAATCCTGTACTGGCCGGATCAGAACTCGGCCAATACAGAAAAAAAAATCAATATTGGCCGAGTTATTCTGTATTGGCCGAGTTGACACTTTTATATTGCATAGGCAGTTTTCATCATATTAAGTTCAATAACAGAGTTGTTAATTAATAACGGTTTTTATTTGACTGGGAAATCAATGTAATTCATTGCTACCAATGTAATAAAAGGGAATAATAATCAATAAAAATATACTAGTATATGACATATCTTTTTTTAATTCATATTCCACAGGTCAGTATATACACATTTCAAATGAAATATTACTCGAAAATAGGGTGTTATCTTCGGTACGTCAGAAATACATCAGCTTTAGAAATTATGATCGAAATGGAGTAAATGCAACTTGGAATGCCGTATCTGATGTTTTAATGTGGATAAAGACTAAAAATCGATCTGTACAATGGATTCAATATCTTGGTAAGATAAAGTATTTATATATAAAAAAAAAAAATACAAACACATATAGAAAATTCACAGTGCAGTATGTTCAATATTACAAGTAATATTCTTCAGCTTTCACAGTCGGAAAGCAAGCCCTTAGAAACGACCGTTGTTGCTACTTTCTTAAGACAACAATGGGACTGATATTAATGCCCGCCATTCTGAAATTGCGTTAATTTCGAAGAAAAAATAAATTGGCGGCAATTTAAAAAGTTTTCTATTTTCTGTTTCATACTTGCCATTGGAGTCAGAAATACATGTCATACATTTTTTATATTCTCTTTCAAATTATTGTTTCGACTTGATGGCTTTGTCAGTTTATTTTCGACTTATGAGTTTGAATGTCCCTTTGGTATCCTTCGCGCGCCTCTCTTTTTTGCCTTTTGTATAAATTGAAAAGCAACTAATAGCTGAAGGATCTGAAAATCAAAAGTGAGAGGAAATTTTCTACATTCTTTAAAATTGATTGATGTAAAGGCTATGTTCAGTGCATTTAGTGCTACATTCCACGCCGTATGCACCACTCTGGTTGTCAAAAGAAGGAAGGAAGGCTTCACTTCACCCAGTTAACTAACAAATCTTAAATACTACTTTACATAAGATTTCATTCATTTGATTAAATGTCCTGATAGGGAAGTAAATTTATTTTCACTTTAGATTTCCGTACCTACTACAATATGGAGTTACCTCCAGTAGATGGCGAATTATAGAACGTATTGATTATAATTTTCTTATTATCAACCATTCAACATTCATCAGTTCGTCTAATCATAAATATATAATAAAATCAATAACAAACAAAATAAATAAGTATATAAAAAAAAATTAAAAATTAAATTAAATGCTTAACTAGTTTTGCGTTTTTCCCCATATCAAAAATACTTAATTAAGTAATTTTGATTAAAGACCAAACCTCTCGTAACCATAGAAGTTTAATAATTAAAAGTCATCCGTTGCAATCAGGTTAATGAATATGCAATTTAAAAAATAAACGACTAAGCATCTTGATTACAAAAAGAAAGGCGGAAGATACCAAAGGGATGTTCAAACTCATAAGTCGAAAACGAACTGACAATGCCATGACAAAAAAAAACGAAAAACTATCAAAAGACAAACACAAATTACAAAACACAACATATAAAATTAAAGACTGAGCAACACGAAACCCATCAAAACCGGGGGTGATCACAGGTTATCCGGAAGGGTAGGCAGATCCTGCTCCACATGTGGCCCCCGTCCTGTTGCTCATGTAAGTACAAACCCGGTTATAAGTCTAATCTGATAGGTCACATTCGAGGAAAAGATGACGGGATTGTGGTTACGGCAATTGGAACATATCCGTCGTCATCTGTGAGGCAGATATTCCATAAAACGGTCGACCAACTCGTGATGGCGTCCGTACAAATTTTTATAAAAAAAAGGAAATACCAAGGGGCATTCATAAAAATCCATATATAGACGGAAGACGGAAAATGCCATGGCCAAAAGAAAAAAAGAACCCCTCAAAAAAAAACAAAAAAAAAACAGTTCACCAAACACCGCATAGAAAACACAAACCACTTCAAAATCAGTTACGATGCCTTTTCGTACCACGCCCTTCATTTGAAGGTGCTAATTTTGAATCGGGAGGTCTAGTGTATTCGACATTATGCATAGATTCTTTAAAAAGTGATAGTATTTAGTTGGTAAAGTCATATAAAATTCAATAACATGATGGAAGATGTACAGTACTGTAGTATATTGAACTTTAAATACTCTTGGAACGCATTATAAAGAACCATCATAACAATGGTTTTATGCATATATAGTATAGCTTAGCAATGAATCAAGGAATACTCAAGATGAAATGATATAAATGACTAGGTTCGTATGTATGAGATCATGTTGATAAAGATTGTTCAATGACTTTTTTCTATGTTTTGATGTGGCCAACATATTGATGAAATAAATACAGTGTATAAAGGGTACGGAAGCGTGTAAGCGCCACACAAACTTTTTTCTATTTCTTCCTATGTTTGCGTTGCAAACCTTTGCGTTATAACGCGACCATTTTGATTTTTGCTATTCATTAAAAGTTTTGTATATTTCATAATGAAAAACTATATTGAATTTACATTTTTACATTTATTATTTAATGTGAAAAGAAGTGTTTTGTAAATATCGCCATTCGCATGTCCGTGTGCCAGTAAAATTTGGTTTTGATTTATTTAAGAGAAGGACCTGAACACATCCCAAGTCACCTTTTTAATAAAGATACATAAAAATAAGGGAATACTTGTGTCGCAATTATACACAAATAAAGAATGATTTTTGTATCAGAAAAAATAGATATGGTATGAACAATTTTCCGTGAATAAAAAGGGAATGGTTTTGAAATTTTCGAAGTACGGAAAGTGTCAAAGTAGATGCGCAAAAAAATATTCATAAAATTGTGAAACGATAAATTCAAATAGACAAAATGATCTGTCGGCCTTAAAATGATTTATATTCAAAAAGAACAATTTTGAATTTTGAAGTAAGAAAGCTCTAACACAGAAAGAAATATAAAAAAGTGTGTGTGGCGCTAATACACTTCCGTAAAAAGATCAAAACTTTAGTTTTTAAGTTAGGTCTCCTTGTATGTGATTCCGAATTTGTAATTCGATTTAGTTTATGTCAAGTTAAACACTGTTTAAACGTATTCAAGTTTGGAATCTGTTGTCCCTCTTCCATCATAGATAACCATCACCGTTTGAAATGTGTTAGGACTGTATAACCCTTTTCGCATTTGCCAGAATGTAATATTTTGAATTAAATGCAGAACGATGGGTATATATTTCTAAAAGTCAACAGCAAGAGATCATGCAAACTTTGTTCCTTTGCAGGTTGTCAAGTGTTAAATGTAACAGCAGAAAAGGAAGCAAATAACACATATTTTCCGGTTGATATCGGTAATACATCATATCGCATACAGATGTGTGTCACCAACTGTAATACGATTGACAAAACAATTGCTAATTTTGGACTGAAGGTACCTTACACTATAGAAGTATAAAATTTTCAATTACAACATTTAAAAAGAAATTATGGAAAACAATTGCAGGTGTAGAATCACAATTTGTTTTCTACTCAAAAATGTGAAAAGGAAGCTGTTTTAATTTTTTCCCAAAGAGGACAAAACACTACACATGTCTTTTAGAAAGGAATTAATAATACGTTTTCGGTAGTAAAAACAACGCTCTAGGTCTAAAAAATGTTCCCTGAAACTGGCATTATCAAGATTCTTATTTGCTTTATGAATGTTTTTTTTACAACAAATCTATTATGTTGGATTCACCTTGATTTATTCTTTTATTCAGAAAAGGGAAAAGTTCATGAAGAACAAAAAAAACCAGCACTATCCATTAAATTATCGTTCTGCTTTTTAAATGCAATCCTTTCCCTGAATAATTCAGTGTGTTGACTATGTTTATCGAAATTGTGCTCCTAACACAAAAACTACTGTAACAGAGTTATGAAGAAGAACAATTGGAATCAACACTACACAAGTTTTATGACCAACATCATGACTTGGTTGACCAACACGACGTGTATGTGTCTCAAAAAACAAGCGACATGTGTTCGCGGTCTTTGATCTGAAGATATCAGATTCTTTTTTCCTCTAATATTGAGGTCTAGTAATCATTCGACGCGAGGGCGCGGTGAATATATTTCATATGATTTTGTTAAGAATGGAGAAAGGAGATATTAATTCCTATATTTCTATCTAAAATGTGTACACAATCGATTGTAAAGGCAAAGTCGTTATTCTTGAAGTTCTAATTCATGACTCGGTAAAATGAAAAAAATATATGTTTTTATCTTTTTTGAATAAAAGTATGTTGTGTCATATGTTTTGAAAGTTAAGAACAGGGGGTACCAGTTGTTCTTGATTGTACAATTTAGTTTCATGAAAAACACATATTCACATATCCCTACATGTAAGCATGACAAAAAAGTATCAGATTAATATATGTAAAAAGAGTAAACAAATGTTCAATTTCAAGAAGTTTAATTAATTAGGTAAATTCAAAATTCATTTTTTTATGTTGTTTCACCGGAATCGGGGTACTTATCAAGTTTATAATCAAGTAAAAGCAAAAAATAAAATTTATGTCTCGATCAATTTGATCAACTTTCCAGTTTAAATTTGTCAACCCTTCGAAAAACTTGGCGGCGAATTGATGCTCTGCACCAACTTTCACTTCTTGAATTGTAAGTAATTTAACCGGAAAAAACGAATAAAATATATTTTGAAATATATGCCAATGAGACAAATAAATATAATGTATATAACACAAGATGGTGCAAATTTTTTAAAAAATGAACAAAGCTTCTTTAACTGTAGGATAGTACCTGTCATTGTTTTAAAAACAAATTAAGAACATCAAATGTTACACATAAATGTCTTGGAGGAATCAGCGAAAACCGTTGTGATAGCAACAACACTTTAATGCTTTACAGCAAAACAGATGGTATGTAGATTTGGTTAAACACAAGAACATCTATTTTAAAACATTGATGGTGTCCTGCAACAAACAGAGTTATGTGGAAAAAAAGACTGAAATCAACCCTACATTAGTTTTACCGCCTCCATAACAAATTCCATGACCGAAATGCCTGTGTCCCAACTCAATAGCTACATGTTTTCTCAGTCTTATATCTTTAGATATCAGAATGGTCGTCTGATCTGTAAATTTACTGTTTATGTTCTTTTTACGATTGCAACATTTTGACTGAATGTGAATTCGCAGGCGGATGATGCATGCATAACAGGAGACGCTTAACCTGTCGACGAACCCGGTCTTGGTCCTTTTGGAGTTCATGCGATTTCATCAGTATTTGCTTTTTATTTTACCTTGTATCTTCTTAATAGATATATGAGATATATACATCGATACACTACTATTGCCTCTAATTGATTAATGAATCACACATGTTGAGTATATATATATATATATTGAAATTTACAAGCAATGCACTTTTTAATACTGGGGACTATGTTAGTAGACAACGAATCGAATGGTGATTCTTTGGCCAGTATTGGGGTGTCAATGATACCCGTACATGTCTTCTAAAGTATCTATATGAATGAGTGCTCTTTTAAAACAACAACAAAAAAATCATTATTTTATCACATTTTGAAAAGTGACTGACACTGATGAAGGCCAAGTATATCACTCTTGTAAGTGTATTGGATAAAATAACTTTATAGTATTCACATTTTCCAGATTATACTGATAATACAACAGATCATGGGAACAAATGTGCAGCAATACAACTGACACCAGATTGCAATTTTACTATCTTGAATATTCATTGTAATACGGACTTACCGTATATCTGTTTCAGATGTGACGGTAAGGACGTCGTTTAAGCTAACATGACTGGTTTCTTATTTAAAACTTCATTTATATGTATTGTCTTTTCAACAAATAATTCGTGTTGCTCGCATCTATACTATTTAACTTGAAAAAGAGAATACTACAGGAACAGTTAATTGTGCTCCCTACTTTTACCTACACCTAGATATCGACTGCGATGTACGATTTAGAATTCAACTCAACTCAACAACAAAAGAAATTACTTTAATTCTTTTATTGTGATCTTTACTTTTTCATTTATTAACACTCCAGCAGATTATATTAAACAGCTGATGTTTGCTATCAGAATTTACTTGATAGAGGGTTTGCAGCTAACTATAAAGTTACTGCACCAAAGACTTTTTATGGTAAAGTTGAAGTCATCGGGGAAAGTTTACGTTCTTCATCCTGTAACCGATACAGAAAACTACGTCAAAAATAACCATGGATATATTCCTTTTGTATTAGTCGCAAAGTTGGATTTGTCTGTCCCTTAGTTTTGCAATGGTTCCTAAGTATCTTAATCACGATCCCACAATAATTTAAGTTAAGGTCATATAGATGTAAAAAGAATGACAATTTTCATTTCTATTAGTATTTTTAAATAGCAGTCTTTTTTTCTCATTTTTCAACAAGGTAACAATCTGATTCAAATTCAAATCCTGTGCCCACGCTTCGCTGACAAGGATCTGATAATGTGCCGTTCTACCGGCCTCATGTTAAAGACCTTTCTCTTGGTTTGTTGTAATGTTACACATCTTCAAAAAAACGAAGGGTCAGTATTGGCCCTCACATTCAGTGAAATTTAACTTTAATAATACAAATAAACATTTGATGATAAACTACTAGTATTCAAAGATATCTGACAAGTATAAAATCAACAAGCTCTGACTCATTAGAATACTTATGATGTCATTGTTACGTCATAATTGCGCACTCTTATGCAGAATCGGTATAATTGCGCCTGATATTCTATGTAAAGTTTGATCGTTTTGCTTTAATATACATTGGCCACATGCAAGGACCACCATATTAATTTGTTAGGATGTGTATCTGATCCATATACATCTTTGTAAAACAATTTAATTTTAGTCGTAGGATGTGTCCAATTTTTTTCAGATGGAAATAATCCTTGTAAATGCACAAATAAAGGCAACAGTAGTATACCGTTGTTCAATAGTCATAAATCGATTAAGCGAAAACTAATCCGGGTTACAAACTAAACCGAGGGTAACACATCAACTATAAGAGGAAAACAAATAAACATCAGATTATCGAGCTAAAAATTGTAAAACATCGTACTTTTGAAGCTTTCATCATTGAGCAAACGAACATCCGATAGATAGGGGGTCTAGTTGATCCAAATTTGCATATTTAAGATCACGATGTCACAGAAGCAAGGGTAAGATTCACGCTTAGGGAAGAAATAAATTGATAAGGCAAATTTAAAGATCTAACATTGTTGAGCTAAATTTGAAACGAATTATATATATATTATGGTGTAAGCCATGTATAACAACGGGTTATCCGATCGAGAATGTCTGTCGTAAAGTTGTCATATGTTTAGATGCGTATATATATCTGTATTCAATAGATCTTTCTTTATTGTCAGAAACTAGAAGTGCACACATTATAGAAAAGCGAGAAAAATGGGTTGAATCCGCAATGGATTGCACGAAAGACATACACAACTTAAGTAATACGACAAACCAACTTAAGGAAGGTACCTTCTGGATAGTGATTCCAAGAAATGAACAATTTCTAATGAAATACGGAGATGCAGGTGAATCAGTGTTTTAATTTGCAAAAAGTTGAAGTATATAACCAATAATTTTGAAAATAATAAAAACAAAGTGGTATATACATTGACTTATATTTAACTACAAGGGAAACAAAGGGGACTAAAAGTTTATAAAATTGTATTAAAGTCACAGATACAAAAGATTTAAAAGATTACTACTGATATACATATATTTCATAGTAGAAATTTTGTGACATAACTGAATTTTGTTTAGAAATATAACTTGTTGGTAACGTTTTTTTCTGTTGTCCTTAGCATGTCCATTATACTTTTTTTACAGGAAGTCAAAAGTTATTGATTATGTTGAATCCTAAACCAAAATTGATATGCATTGTCTCATTTTCCTTACAAGACGCATTTTTAACTTATCTTTACCTATTATCTACTGTGTACTTGATTTGGCCTTCCAACAGTTTTGATTCGAGCTTCACTGGTCAGTCTTATGTAGACGAAACGTAAACGCGCATCTGGCGTACACAATTATAAGCCTGATATCTTTGATATCGGTTTTTTTACTGCTTTTTTTTATTTGAATCTTATTCTTGTTTAACTAAACGAAATTTAAAAAGAGAGGCACACCATTCCAAGGAAACGATCAAAAATCATAAATGGAAGAAAAACAAACAATACCTTGACCAAAAGGAAAACGACGAAAAGACAAACAACAGTTTACCAAACATTGCAAATAAGACTAAATGCTGAGCAACACGAACCCCCACCACAACCCGGGGATGATCTCAAGTTATTTATCAATTTAACATCAAGACTTAGCACATGTGTAGACTCTATACCACTATATATTTCGTGAATGACACAAACAGCTATATATGTATCGGGGATAATGTTTGAATCACTTGCAAGTACAAATAGCAGGCTTTAAAGTAGAAAAGTACTTTAATACTATAACTAAACTATTTTCAATACTAATGCCGATCTCTTATTGTCTGTATAAACAGCGTAGGAACAGTGTGAATTGTCTTTATGCAAATTTATTTATTGTACAGAGTCTACGTGCATAGTGACAACATTTTCGAATAGTATAGTCAGTCCCGTGATAAACGACTGTTTTAACATGTCTTACTATATGATGTGTAATAATACAGATTGGACCAACAAGTCATCACTATCGACAAGCAGTTACTTTTGTTCCACGAAAGAATGTAAGAACATAACTATTATTCAGCTAAAATATTGCCCGTTATATAGGAAAAAGTATAGCACATAAAGTAATATTATAAAGAACTAAACAAAAATTTAATACTAGTACTCAATGGGTCTTAACAAATTCATTATATATATGGCAGATCCGATATTTAAAAAAAAAGTTTGTTTGCTTATTATGTAACGTAATTTGACAAATATGTGGATGGATGGATGGATGGATGGATAGATGGGTGTTTTACATCCATCTTCAGAACGAGAAAATGTGGTTAAGGTATGAATACGAACGTGTGTATGGACTAGACCAATAAGCGGAGACAGATCTTTAACGTGCTAACGCTTACTCATAGAGTGTCAAAAGATGTAACTGAAAAATAATCTAGTGCAAATTTTCTATATTATATTGTCTTACTGAAACACAGATACGACAGACAGAATGTATGACTAGTGACATTTGTTCAACTAATACACCATGATCAAGTTCAATGATAAACAAAATGTGAAAAAAAAACATAATCAAAGATGTTTTATTCAGTTTTAAACAGCATTTAACGTATTTTGAAGCTGGCAAAAATTACAATGTTCGTATACTGAATCCGTTTAGAAGTGAAAACAAACGTTATTGAATTGTACATAATTGCACATTGTGAGTTCCAGTCAGTTTTAAAATTTGGTAGGTTCTTTTTATTATTATAGGTCATATCCAGTAACATGTCTCATAGTAGGTTCTTAGCTTTCAAATGTTGAGGTAGAGCGTCCCTTATGAAGATTGAAGATAAATCCAGAAAAGCGCTTCGGAGAGCACGAGATTTTTAAATAAAGGCAACAGTAGTATGCCGCTATTCGAAATTCATAAATCGATTGAGAAAAAAACAAATCCGAGGGAAACACATCAAATATGAGAGGAGAACAACGACACAACAGAAACACAGCACTAAAATGCAACACGCACTGAAACGAACTATTATATAACAATGGCCATTTTCCTGACTTGGTACAGGACATTTTAAGGAAAAATGGTGGATTGGACCTGGTTTTGTGGCTAGCTAGTTTAAGTGTTGTTTCAATTTACTAACACTGGGTCGATACCACTGCTGATATCCTTAGCTCAGTGGTCAGTGCTTCGGTATTGATATGATTTATACCCTGTTTTGATTCCCTGTTGATAAATTTAGAAAGCAAGGTTCCAATTTCTTAAGGTAAAGTTTTCCTTAGATGAATTTGGCTATTCTTTGTAGGTCTTTTTTAGTCTGCAGTCATACAATCCTGGCTTTCAAAAGAGCGTTCCTAGAAAAGCTCTTCAGATGCACGGAATTTATAAATGTATTTTCCATTTTCATTAAAACGGTAATAACGTCAGATGGACGATAGTATAGACATATAGAGATCTATGTCTCGTCTATTAAGTTCAGACACTGTGACACATTAAAAACATAATGATTTCAGTCGTTCTGTCTTATTGCGTTGACAATCTCGAGTTAAATTAAAGGCGAATTTGTATTTGTAAAGTCGCTTTTGCTTTATAAAACCATGGCCTTGTTTTACAATGGAATTGACATAAAGAAACATGAGTTTATGTTTCTTCCTACTTAAGGTTTAAGGTGGTACCAAACACTATGACTAAAATTAATTTGGCTCGTTTAATTTTCATAAAATTGTGTACAAAATATTTACTTTGACCCCTTGACAAAAATATAAAAATTTCAACCACACAATTTATCGGAAAAAAATCATTGGATATAGAGCAGTTTGACAAACACTAATTTTGATCATATAGAAGCTTTATATTTCCTTAACAATAGAACGTGATTAAAACGTTCAGCTGATTTTGAAAGAGTTATCTCCCTGTAGTGTTATGTACCACCTTAATACTGGTATTATGTGTTTATTACAGGTATACTGTATTCAATCAGTATTGTAGCTGGAATCATCGGAATAAATGTTTTAGCAGTGCTAGTATGTAATGCTTATAGGTAATACATAAAGTTAAAGAAATTGAAGAATGTCATTTTGCTTGTGTTAAGGTGAATACTGAGAAGAAACTTCAAGTTATGTACAAAACATTACTTAAGTCTATTCAATTGTCCTGAAAGTTTTAAATCTATAAATATACAAAGGTTTAATAAGAAGTAACTATTTCCAAGAAGCAGTTTTATATCTTCAAATAGGGAAATCATTTATTGGCGAAAAAAATAAAAGCTTATTTACAAAAACTGATAACTTATTAACTGATTTTGGGGAAGAGTATTTTAGAACATCTTCTTTCACGAAATATGCGGGAGTCCTATTCAATTGCCTGGCGTTTTCAGAATGGTGAATAATTTGGATGACGTTCGTTAACATTCAATGTAATTAACCCCTAGAAACTATTTTTGCAAAAGGTATCTCTCCTGAAATGAAATTACGGATTTATGAGCAAATACATATCTTAACGAATATGATAAAATAGTTTAAGCCAATGCATTCTCGGTGTAGTTTTAATGTTAATTTGAAATATATGATACCGACTAACAACACAGACAACATTTCAATGACGACAGTCTCAAAGATGATCAGCTCAATTTAAAAGTATCTACCTACATTAAGGTATATATGTGTATAAGCAATTGAAATCGTACACGAATTACAGTAATTACGAAATGTGTGTATGAGTTATTTAACTATTATATTTAATAATCAAATAGGCCATAATGGTTTTTCTAAGGAAGTAGCAACTCTTAAATGGATATGATCTACATCTTATCAGCTTTTCAATGTTAGAACATTCAATGTTAATTTTAGATTCATTGCAATACCATAATCATATGTTTGACAAAACTGATTCTTTCTACAGAAATAGAAAGACAGTTCGAATAAAAGAGCGAGCAAATAGAACAGTAGAGGAAATCCAACTGGATGAAATGCCCACGGCTTCAAGCAATTTATATGAAGAACATTTTGATGCCGATATTAATCAAATAAACCATGCGGAATCAGACGAATTCAATAATGCTGAAAATGAAATCAATGGCAGCAAATCTCGAGTTAAAATAGATGCAATAAGACAAAATAAAAAAACAGAAGAACAAGCAGCAGCCGAAAATCAATACAACAGCTTGAATCATACTTTAAGGAAGCCAGATGATGCTGCTAGAAATGATGTGTACGACAAAGTAAAGCCAGCAGTAATAACACTCATCAGGGGAGACCGATTTATTGGAACAGAATATGATTCTGTTGATGTACTCAAAGAGTAACACTAATACACACTTGTCAAAGTTTTAGATATTAAAAGATTTTCGCTATTGGTTTAATTGGCATAAGTTTTTAATGCTAAGTGTGTAAAGAAAAGAAATGATGATGCAAAATAGATTGAATTGACAGGTTTATTTTATTAAATTCAAAAATTGCTTTTTTTTACATTTCACAGCATGTTTTTCCTCTTAAGACTATCAAAAATGATGTTTGAATATGAGCTACTCAATAAGTGTCAAAATGTCAAACTTCACCTACTCCACCAAAACCAAGCTTATATAAATTGCGTAAGAATTGAGCTAGGTATGAATAATATTCATTGAACAGTTTTTATTATCATTACTTTTTCATAATATATTTTTTAAGTAACAACAGTATCATACAGTTGTCGAGTCTAAACACAAGAATATTTGCTGACTTTTGTAATAGACATAAGTTATGTCAAAATAAGTATCTTAGTTTGCATTGTAAAATGAAAAACATCACTTTTGTATGTTTTAGTTACCTTAAAACAAAGAAATATAGAATGCATGCTTTATTACAATAAGAAGACAGCTCATATTTACTTTTCGTAAACAAATTCAACTATGATAGTATAATAGACTGTCCAATTTCAATTGCAGGTCATTTCTGTAAAGGGAGCGTATTCTAATTAACAACATTTCACATGGAAGCAAAAAACACCTTACGAAATCGGGCGTTAATTAACCTCAATTACCCATGCCCGATAAATGGACACCATACCAAAAGCAAACGGGAGCTGATATATATAACAACGTTACTGTTGTTACAGTTTCATTTTCATTTTCGACAAAGCTTACATTGATATTGATGACCCCACTCTCAATCTGTCATAATTTCGGTGGAAATAACAACTTTTACATTTAATGTTATAGTGTACATGATAAAACATAAAATAACTGGTCAAGTTGTCATAAGAATGAGAAGCACACGACATATTCACTTCTCACGACGAAAGACCAAAAGTTAACTAATTTAACTTCCTTATAAAAAACGAAAATGTGGGATGATTGCCAATGAAACAACTTTCGACCAGAGACCAAATAACGTAAAAGTTAGCAACCATATGTCACTATATTTCCTCAACAATGAACAAAACCCATACCGCATAGCAAGCAATAAAAGCCCTCATCATGACAAATGTAAAACAATTAAATTAACAGTCTTACTTTTGTACCAAAAGAATTAATGAAAAACAAATATGGTATACAGCAAAAAACGAGAACCTATGAATTACAAATCCCTGACTTTGGACAGGTACATAAATGGTGGGGTAAATGTATATGCGAGCGCTCAAGTTTGTAACTAGATCTGAGATGATGCTTCTTGGACAGTGGTGTAACAGCTTAACATAAGAACATACTATGGAATATCAGATGACAAAATTTGACTTCTCAGATCGACACAAAGCACAAAAAAACTAACAAAAAGATTTAACACACAAAATACCGTTCTGAGGGTACTCGCATTTACTAAATGCTAGTTCAAAGCTAACAACAACTCAGTGGGAATTCTAGTGAACAAGAACAGAAGAAAATTCACTCTTCTTATGATAGAGTCGAGAAAATAAATAATAAAACAATGCCGGTGACGATTCTAATAAAAAATTATTTCTAAATAACAATTGTACATTTTAAAGAAATAATTTGTTAAACTGTGTTATTAGAAATATACATGCAAATACACGATGTTTTATGTTCAGTATTTACCGAGATAATTGCAATAAAAGCCTGTGAAACTGAAATCTAAAAATTTTTAAACTTTGCTGCATATTGATAAAAAACTAGAGGCTCTCAAGAGCCTGTGTCGCTCACCTGACTCTACTTTGGTTTTAGAAATCATGTAAAGATAGATAAAAATCATAACAGATACCCAAATAATGATTGAGGCCAAATTTTGATTTTAATATTGGTCCCGTTATATAATAAAATATCCTGGTGGCCATCTTGAACAGTAAATCGGCAACAAAGTAGCAACACTTGGTCAGCACTTCATAAGGAACATTCATGCCATGTTTGGTTTCATTCCATTCAGTGGTACTCTAAATTAAAACACTTGTATGTATTTCCCATAGGGTCCTATGTTAAACTAAGCCCCCCCCCCCTAGCGGCCATCTTGGATGATGGATCGACTGCAAAGTAACAACACTTGGTCAGCAACTCATAAGGAACATTCATGCCATGTTTGGTTCAATTCCATTCAGTGGTTCTCTAAAAGAAAACAATTGTATGTATTTCCCATAGGGTCCTATGTTAAACTAAGTCCCCCGCTGTCGGCCATTTTGGATGATGGATCGGCTGCAAAGTAACAACACTTGGTCAACATCTCATAAGGAACATTCATGCCATGTTTGGTTCCATTCCATTTATTGGTTCTCTAAAAGAAGACATTTTTATGTATTTCCCAAAGGGTCCTATGTAAAACTAAGTCCCCCGCTGGCGGCCATCTTGGATGATGGATCGGCTACCAAGTAACAACACTTGGTCAGCATCTCATAAGGAAGATTCATGCCATGTTTGGTTTCATTCCATTCAGTGGTTCTCTAAAAGAAGACATTTGTATGTATTTCCCATAGGTCATTTGTTAAACTAAGTCCCCTGCTGTCGGCCATCTTGGATGATGGACCGACTGCAAAGTAACAACACTTGGTCAGCACCTCATAAGGAAGATTCATGCCATGTTTGGTTTCATTCCATTCAGTGGTTCTCTAAAAGAAGACATTTGTATGTATTTCCCATAGGGTCCTATGTTAAACTAAGTCCCCCGCTGTCGGCCATCTTGGATGATGGATCGGCTACAAAGTAACAACACTTGGTGAGCACCTCATAAGGAACATTCATGCCATGTTTGGTTTCATTCCATTCAGTGGTTCTCTAAAAGAAGTCATTTGTATGCATTTCCCATAGGGTCCTATGTTAAACTAAGTCCCCCGCTGGCGGCCATCTTGGATGATGAATCGGCTACAAAGTAACAACACTTGGTCAGCACCTCATAAGGAACATTCATGCCATGTTTGGTTTCATTCCATTCAGTGGTTCTCTAGAAGAAGTTCAAAATGTAAAAAGTTAACGCCGACGACGGACGACGCCGGACGACGGACGACGGACGCCAAGTGATGAGAAAAGCTCACTTGGCCCTTCGGGCCAGGTGAGCTAAAAAATGAAAAAAAATATGTACTTACAAAATATAAAGATCTTTCGGGTCACCAATTTTCGGAGTGCTCCACAAAGTACTTAGCATGTTGCAATTTCCCAAAATATACTTATTTTTAACATCTAAGTTTTCGAGTACACCGGTCTGCTCCTGTCACATGAACATTCATTGAAATATTGTCTTTAGTGAATATAACAATTTAAAAGTCTGTCTGTGCAGGTTTAAAAATTAAAGATAACTGTATTTTTATAAAGTAGGTTTCTTGTTTCTATTTTTTATACAATTTTAAGAAAAGGACGTCTCGATTTTTGTACATGTATTTGCCGTCTTCTCGATCTATTTACATTCAATGTATACATCGGGATAAGGTCCGTTTGAATTTGCTCAGTAACTTAATTTCAAAAGTGACAATCTTTGCTGCATATCAATCGATTCCTTTGGATTTTTTACCTGATTTTCTCTGATCTAGCTGCATGTACATACAGATAATTAGCATGTTCCAGAGAGGTATACAGTCAGTATAAAAATAAATTGAAGTTTGTACTCAAGGAATTTATTCGCATAGACACATTTCAAACCAATTTTACATCAAGCTCCTATAGCCTGCTGTACTCGTCGTTTGTTATCTAAGGAGGGAAATGATAACATTAAATTGAAGTTTTTTTTTTTCAACTATTTCTATTTTTACTATTTACCAGAACATTTTCCCGTGAATTTATAATTGATAGCGTCCTTGCTAAATCGGGACAAACATTGAAAAGATCTAGTTTTCTGTGTTTACAGGGGAGGTAATATTTTGACACCAGATTTCCCATTGAACTAATCCATAACTAAAATATCAATCAGTACACAAATAATGGATTACTGCATGAAATTACAGGTGCAAGATTTTCTTATCTCTTCTATACCAACCTTAACGCACACTCTGTAAATATATCATTATATTTTATTAAAGAAGACTTGAAATATTGAATACAATTAAATTTAGAATAAAAAAACTTATTACTTTTGACAACTTCGGACATGAGTAAAATATTCAAGTTGACGGTTATCAATTCTAACATTGAGTTATGTTTGTATATAAAATGCAATGTTTACTCAATATACTAGGAAGCAGTCAAAAACCACTAACTTCTTGTTTATAAATTTATAAATTACCAAGAAACTAAGGTTTCAACTCCCTCAGGTAAAGTTGATCTTAGATGGATATAGCTATTATTTTTCAGTCCAATTTGGTCATATAGCTCTTCAACTGTTTCAGTTCTTAAACATCCTTGGCTTTCAAATATTCGGCTTTGATCGTTCCTTATGAAGGTAAATCCAGAAAAGCACTTGACTCATGAAATTTATAAAGTGTTTTTTTTATTTTATTTCCCAAACAATATTATTAAATGTATAGTTCAGTTTGGGAAAAAAAAACATAAGTTGTACATTATTAGTACCTTTTACTTTGAAAGTGTAACAGTGATTTTATATAAAATTTTTAATTCGCTCACTTTCTTTGTAACAATGCAATTTATTTACATCAAGGAACTGTTTGTTTAATTAGTTTCCAACAATAAGGATGAACCTACCAAAAAACATTCCAAGGAAATAAACCCAATTCTTTTCTGTTTCATACACCCACACACTTTATGCAGTTGGTGGTTAAAATTATCTTAAAATAAACTGAACAATCAAACTTGATATGATAAAAAAAAGTTTTTTTTGTACTTACGTAATTCGCACAGCCTTTTTAAGGTAGATCTGGAGTCTTTCTTCATCTTGGATTGTAAAAGTTTTCATTGAATATAAGCTTTAGAATTACAATGTATTTTTCATATTTGTGTCCGGTGTTTGTATAGCAATAAAGGCTATTTTAAAGGAGTTTATTTATTTGTCAACTCGGAACACTCACTAACAATCTGAAACCGAAGCACTTTATAATAGTAATTAAGGTTAATTTTAAAGGAGTTTAAAGATGTGTAAATTCAACCTACTCA